TTTAAGGGGGTCTGAATACTTTCCGTACCCACTGTATATTACGTTTAATATTTAATCTACATATTTTATTTTTCTATATTACATATTAAAAAGAAATGTTCACAATCCTGTTTTGGTGCAGATCTGCGTAAGTGTCAGGAGAGAGGAGATCTGGTCCAGCCGGTGGTGTTCAGCTCCGTGGTTCTGCTCTCTGTTCTGCTGTACTTCACTGTGTCTCTGATGGATCCTGGCTTTGTTCTGTCCGACAGCGACACAAGGGTAGTTATGAAAGCAACGTCTGTATAAGATACGTATAATAACTCATCTAATATTAGATATTTGGGCTCTTTCAGGGAACGTCAGTGGACAGTAATGAAGAACTGGAAAAGATGATTCCTCAAGATCACAGTTCTTTAAAGCAGCGACGCTGCGGCTACTGCTTTAAACTGGTACTTCATCAACCTAAACGCTGCTTTTGCTCAGCGTCCAGTGAAATCTGCTTATTCTTGTTTCTCTTTCTGTGTGAACCAGCAACCGATGAGGGCCAGGCACTGTCAAACGTGTAAGCGCTGTGTGAGGCGTTTTGACCATCACTGTCCCTGGATAGACAACTGTGTTGGTGAGAGGAATCACAAGTGGTTCCTGCTGTACCTGTGTGTGCAGTTTGTTGCTGTATGAACCCCAAATGTCCGAAGCACCACTCAGACTCGTCTTGTACGTACTTATTATTTGATCAGACTGCGAGATCATTTAATAAATATAGTTCATATAAAGATGTTTTAACACAAAAGTAATATAACATATTATAAACATTTATTTCCAAGGTGGACCGTTTCTGTGTAACGGGGTCATGACAATGTTTAGTTCGAAATGTTTTGCATTGCATAAAGTTTATATATTTTTAAAGAATAGTATGCATTATGCAAGGTTTTTTTTTCTTCTTCACAAAAACTGCTAGGGGTTCTGTAGAAAAGCATAAAAAAAGTAAAAATAAATAATTATTTGAAATAAGATTAAGTAACAAAATAAATGTGTTAAAATAAAAAAATTTAGTAAAATAAATCAAATTTTATTTAATAAATAAAATGTGATTACAATTTAAAAAAAATATTACAATAAATAACATTTATTTAAATAAATAATAAATACATTTTGATAAAAATTAATAAATAGAATTTAATTTAAATAGGTAAGTAATAAATAAGTATAAAATTAACAGGAAATGATTCAGATAAATAGATGCTTTGTGAAAAATGTGATTAAAATGATTGAAATAAATCATGTTTGATTAAAATAAATAATAAATACATTTTGATTAAAATAGACACATTTGATTTAAATAAATAATACATGTAACAGTACAGTACTATAGTGAGTAGGAAATATATCACATATTTATATTGTTCATTTCTCTTGATGTATTTTTAACATCCCCTTCACATCTTATTATTTGATCAGACTGCGAGATCATTTAATAAATATAGTTCATATAAAGATGTTTTAACACAAAAGTAATATAACATATTATAAACATTTATTTCCAAGGTGGACCGTTTCTGTGTAACAGGGTCATGACAATGTTTAGTTCGAAATGTTTTGCATTGCATAAAGTTTATATATTTTTAAAGAATAGTATGCATTATGCAAGGTTTTTTTTTCTTCTTCACAAAAACTGCTAGGGGTTCTGTAGAAAAGCATAAAAAAGTAAAAATAAATAATTATTTGAAATAAGATTAAGTAACAAAATAAATGTGTTAAAATAAAAAAATTTAGTAAAATAAATCAAATTTTATTTAATAAATAAAATGTGATTACAATTTAAAAAAAATATTACAATAAATAACATTTATTTAAATAAATAATAAATACATTTTGATAAAAATTAATAAATAGAATTTAATTTAAATAGGTAAGTAATAAATAAGTATAAAATTAACAGGAAATGATTCAGATAAATAGATGCTTTGTGAAAAATGTGATTAAAATGATTGAAATAAATCATGTTTGATTAAAATAAATAATAAATACATTTTGATTAAAATAGACACATTTGATTTAAATAAATAATACATGTAACAGTACAGTACTATAGTGAGTAGGAAATATATCACATATTTATATTGTTCATTTCTCACAATATCAGTGTTTTTTATATATGTGAGCCTGCAGCACAAAAGCAGTGTTAAGTCGCTGGGGGATATTTGTAGCAATAGCCAACAATACATTGTATGGGTCACAATTATACATTTCTCTTTTATGCCAAAAATCATTAGGATATTAAGTAAAGATCATGTTCCATGAAGATATTTTGTGAAGTTCCTACCGTAAATATATCAAAACTTAATTATTGATTAGTAATATGCATTGCTAAGAACTTAATTTGGACGACTTTAAAGATGATTTTCTCAATATTTTGATTTTTTTTGCACCCTCAGATTCCAGATTTTCAAATATTGTCCGATCCTAACAAACCACGCATCAATGGAAAGCTTATCTATTCAGCTTTTTCAGATGATGCATAAATCTCAATTTTGAAAAATTGACCCTTATGACTGGTTTTGTGCTCCAGGGTCACATATGAAAATGTATTTTGTGTATACATTTAAATTTAAGGATGGGGGTCCCTCTCACGAGGATCATCATATCTGGGGTCTATGGCATCTAAAAGATTGAAAACCCCTGCATTATGCAGTATATACTGTAAACCATACAGTAAGCAATGCCTTATCTTTATTGATCCCAGAGAAGCTATTCATTCCAAATTCATTTTTCATTTCCCCAAGTCACAGTCCAGCTGGGTTCAGAATAAAGAGTCGTTTATAACGCATCAAATGCACTGTGGATTACCCTGAAGCGTATGTGTTTAAGGTCCGGCGTGGTCTTTGCACCCACCTGGCAGCTGTGGTTCACTCAGAACGGATTCCTGCTCGGGGCGTTTGCCGTGACGGCCGTGTTTTCGGTGGTCGTGCTGCTCCTGCTGTGCATTCACCTGTACCTGGCCTCGGTGAACAGCACCACCTGGGAGTTCATGTCACGCCAGCGCATCGTGTACCTCAAACACTGCGACTCGGAGGAGAACCCGTTCGACAGAGGAGTCTTCTGCAACCTGTGGCACTTCTGCTGCATCTGTGGGACGGTAGCATGGGAGAGGATCTACGTCAGACACACCAACGGGGCTAAATGACTGAATTTTTTTTTTTGACTGGAGTTCAGACCACTGAGTGTTTTATTGAGCGTCTCTTTAGACCCAACATTAATCGTTTTTTACTAATACTGATGTGATGTGGTTACTTGCATCATTTTATGTAGTAAACCTGCAGGGATAAATAGGCCATTTATCATCACGTGCCACAATTATTGGTGTTTGGGTGTTTTCTACTCATTTGTTGCATGATGTATATCTGTTCACATAATGAGGGACAGTTTGTATAGTTCAGCTTTTTTATTGGTTGAAGTTAATTTTACATGTGACTAAATAAACTTTCTAAATAAAGACTCGCTAATGATTCTTATAAGCCAGAAAAAAATGCTTCAGTGAATAAAGGTGATTAGTGGTGAGCGGTTGCTGAAACACAAATCTTCACTTTCGGTTTATTTATTCATATCTGTCTTGATATTAACCAGAAACTTGGGATTCGTGAGACTTAAAGCAATGGGCAAACTTCCAAATGAGCCTCAAGATGACTTGATATTAAAATATTTTGTTGGGGGGAAAAAATTGTGAGTAAAAAATACTCACTTATCCAGTAAATCACAAAGACTGGAAAAGACATGCAAATTCATTTGGGGCTTGGCAGGCTTTGAATATTGTGTAAAATGTCAAAAAGGTTGAGAACCACTAACTTAAAGAGTTGTGTGGCTTGTAGTTCATTTCTACCTACACTATAGTGCAAAACTGCACCCTAGTTCAGTAGTCAGTGCACTACTAAGGGAGTCAGCTATTTCTATGGCTGTCCCATCGACTCTCCTTAAAGGGATAGTTCACCCAAAAATGAAAATGTGATGTTTATCTGCTTACCCCCTGCAGGGCATCCAAGATGTAGGTAACTTTGTTTCTTCAGTTGAACACAAACTGAGATTTTTAACTCCAGCCGTTGCAGTCTGTCAGTCGTATAATGCATGGCAATGGTAACAAAATCTGTGAGAGTAAAAAAAACATGCACAGACAAATCCAAATTAAACCCTGCGGCTCGTGACAACACATTGATGTCCCAACACACGAAACGATCGGTTTGTGCGAGAAACCCAACAGTATTTATATCATTTTTGACCTCTAATACACCACTATGTCCAGCTGTCTTTGAGCGCGCGCACGGCTTCCGGTGCGTGAGGTGTGTACGCGCTCTGCCGTAGTTTACGTTAAAGGCTGTGTTGATATCCAGCCGAAGTGTAAACAATGAGTGACGTATATGCGCGAGAGATCACGTCCGGCGCTTGCGTAAACAACGGCAGAGCGCGTACACACCTCACGCACCGGAAGCCGTGCGCGCGCTCAAAGACAGCTGGACATAGAGGAGTATTAGAGGTCAAAAATGATATAAATACTGTTGGGTTTCTGGCACAAACCGATCGTTTCGTGTGTTAGGACATCAATGTGTCGTCACGAGCCGCAGGGTTTAATTTGGATTTGTCTGTGCATGTTTTTTTTACTCTCATAGATTTTGTTACCATTACCATGCATTATACGACTGACAGACTGCAACGGCTGGAGTTAAAAATCTCAGTTTGTGTGCAACTGAAGAAACAAAGTCACCTACATCTTGGATGCGCTGCAGGGGGTGAGCAGATAAACATCACATTTTCATTTTTGGGTGAACTATCCCTTTAAGTCACCATAAAAACTAGTGAGCATCAGCTATTCACTGTATTCATCAAAAATGTTATCATGATTTTTATTGGCATTATGCCTTCATCTGACACGACTGGAGAAGTGCAACAGGATTGAAACATGACCATGAGCACTTTATATATATGCACGTGCTTTCAATGAACTATATTTGACAAACACGTTTATTCAAAGCAACCCGCATTGGATTGAAGTTATACATTTGGTTAATGCATGCATTCGTAGGAATCGAACCCGTGACCTTGGCGTTGCTTGCGCCACTTCCATCATTGGCGCTTTCGTGTAACTTGAACGCCGCGTTTTTAGAGCGTTCTTCACGCGCGCGACGCTTACGAGAGCTGCATTGATTTTTAACATTTCAAAATATTTTTTTTTTCCGGTCTAGGATGACCGAACAACACCAGAAGGTTAAACATAGTCCTGGGTGTTTATTTGCAGCGTGGTTTTTGTCTAGAACCATTTTACCTACATTCAGATAACATTGAAATCCCGCCTTTTCTGTAGCGGTTCCACGCCCAGCCCCGCCCCCACCGGCGCCGCCCAATCAGAGAGCAGGTCCGGGGACCGACGTCAAGCTCGGCGCGTTGTTCTGGAAGGGGCGGAGTTCATTTTTCGAGCTCGTGAGGGGCGCGTTCTGTCCGAAAGAGAGCGCGTGAGGATCTGCGTTCGTTCCCTCGCTGTAAGTTTGTGTGGAGCAGCGCGAGCTCGCTCGTTTCTCGTCCTATTACAGTCTCCAGAAACCGAGCTCAAGGAGGACGATCTTCTACCTCAGCGAGTTTAATAACCACAGCTCTTGATTCCCACTGAAAACTCCTCTCGTCGCGATCAGTGAAATCATGTCTGCCTCAGCGGCTAAAGTCAGTAAAAAGGAACTGAACTCGAACCACGACGGAGGGGACGAGACCTCAGGTAAGCGAGAACGGCGGCCATTTTCACTTTCTCTTCTCCCGCAAGCGGGGTTTTAATCGCTGTTGTAGCTAGTTAATTATCCGGGGCTCGAGTATGACTCGTTTCTGTAGACCGTGGCGGTGTGCGGTGCTTGTAATCGGCCGCGGGTCTGGTTGGATGTTCGCGGAGGGACGGCGGCGGAGGCCATGTTTGATTTCTGCGAACCGAGCCACAAAGCCCCATTAGTACGCACACAAAAACCGTTGTATTTAAAAAAAAAAAAAAAGCGCGGGAGTTTTTGTTCTGCCCGCTAACGGATTTTTTCGAAGAAACGCGTGCAGTTAAAGAGCGTGAAACATGCGGAACGGAAGCGTCAGATCGCGGTGCTTTATTGTTGTTGTGCTTTAGCCTAGCCGAGCCACGTCTCCGCCATGATGTAGCACGGGCTAATGGTTGTTTATGCACTTTAACGGGCGAACGATGGTAGAAATGAACGCCGAAGCGACTTTACACGCGCATCGGCCGTGGGTTCGCGGCGGAAGCAGGTGCAGCGCGAGCGATTCTGTGCACATTTAAACCACGCGGCATCAGCGCGGCTCCCTCTGAGCTCAATGCATCAGACCGCATTCGCGTCACGTAATCGAGTAATACTGACTTTTCGAAGAAGCTATGCGCACGTGTTCAGTTTAAAAATCTTTAAATTCTAGTTTAAATCGTTGAAAAGCGCGGGAATTGGGAATAAAAGCATTTTAGCTTATGTTGCGCTAGTTTGTGATGCTAAATATTTCCTGTTTTTCCCTTCAACACCGTTTTCTCATTTAGAAAAAGAGCAACAAGAAGCCATCGAGCACATCGATGAAGTACAGAATGAAATTGACAGGTATGTAGAACTATATTGAATGAATTACCGCGGTATCCACATGGTAATGGAGTTACCGCGGTATCCACACTTTAATGGAATTACCGCGGTATAAAATGGAAGTCGATGCTCGTGAATGGAGATGATTGTCTGATCTTGTCCAGACTGAACGAGCAGGCGAGTGAGGAAATTCTCAAAGTCGAACAGAAATACAACAAACTCCGCCAGCCGTTCTTCCAGAAGAGGTCTGAACTCATAGCCAAAATCCCCAACTTTTGGGTCACAACATTTGTCAACCACCCACAAGGTAAGATCCTTCGCAAACTGTTATTACACTATTTTACCATCTATATTCAATGAGTGTTTTATTTAATGTGGTTTGATTCTCTAGTCTCCGCTCTTCTTGGGGAGGAGGATGAGGAGGCGCTTCATTATCTGAGCAGAGTAGAGGTGACGGAGTTCGAAGACATCAAATCTGGCTACAGAATAGATTTTGTAAGTGGTAAAAATTCACTTTCATGGCTTAGAGCAGTGGTCGCCAACCTGTCGAGTGCGTCCCAGTAGATCCCGAAAAAAACAGTAAAACGCTTTGTTTACAGTAGGGATGCACCGATATGAAAATTTTGGCCGATACCGATAACAGAAAAAATGAGCCGATATGGGCCGATACCGATATGGTGGCCGATATATCGTGCATCCCTAGTTTACAGCGGTAAACAAGGAAACGCTGTAGTGCGGTCGGTTCGTAAGCAGTGTTGCCAAGTCTGCGGTTTTCCCGTGGAATTGGGCGACTTAACACTGTTGCATCGGGTTGTTGTTCATGTCCGCGGGTTTAAGTGACCCCAGTAACGTGATATTTAGGAATGTGAATTTTACTGGAAGATCCCCGCCAAAAAACGTGTGTATTACCCCCGGAATGCAATTTTTACAGGGGAACCCCCCTCGAAACATTGGACTAGTTTTATTGCGAAAACCTGGCAACCCTGTTCATTAGCGCCACCTGCTGTCAGAGAGTGTGTCTCATTCAGACCTGCTGTTTTTGTTTCGTGCAGATGTTTTATGTAGCAAATAAATAACACCATAAGTCAGACCGTTCTGTTGATTTAATCTAAATCAAATCAAAAACACCTGCCCGTGCAGATCGTGATTGAAAGGCAGTGGTTGCCTCTAATTTCAAATGGCTAGATATTTTAGTTTAAAGCCAGTTTGTTTGTTATAAACCAAATAGCCAATAAATAAATTTGCTTAAGGATCAGAATCCAATTTGCTAGAAAAGAAATTCTGAATCAGCTATAATCGGAGCATCACTAATTCAAATTTGAGGCTTTTTACTTAGTATTTTAAGTACTATCTGGGATGTCTTTTTCTATCAATTCTTCAATACATAGATCTTGTCTTTCATAAAGGCCGAGGTCAGGGATCTTGGGCCTAAAAAGGTTGGTGACCACTGGCGTAGAGCTTTTATGCTTCCATAACTCACCCTCTCTTTTCCGTTGCCTTTTAGTATTTCGATGAAAACATGTATTTTGAGAACAAAGTCCTCTCCAAAGAAATCCACCTGAACGAAAGTGGAGACCCAACCTCGAAGTCAACAGAGATCAAGTGGAAACCGGGAAAAGTATGCATGATGTTTATTATTAGAGAGTTCTTTGCTCTGTGACTGGATTCTGTCAAATAGTTGTACACTTCTGAGTTTTTAATGTGAGTCCTTAATTCTTTCGCAGGACCTCACAAGTCGGTCCAGTCAGACACCGAGTAAAGCGGGCAAGAAGAGGCAACATGAAGAACCTGAGAGTTTCTTCACCTGGTTTACTGATCACTCCGATTCGGGGGCCGACGAGTTGGGCGAAGTCATTAAAGACGACATCTGGCCGAATCCTCTTCAGTACTACTTGGTGAGACTTGCACTCCCGTTCTGGAACAACATCCACATACAAATGGAAAGCTTTAACTAATGTTCAGATTAAGCTTGTGTAGACAAGCGGTAGGTTTGTATAGGTTTATTTTAGTCTTAGAAAGTTTCCATTTCAGGCATTTAAATGATGTGGTCGAACAATTCGTCAATGCAGCGGAATGGAAGTTATGAGTCATTCATTTGCATTTCAAACCCCAACAGGTTCCAGACATGGAGGATGAGGAAGGAGAGGATGAGGAGGAAGACGAGGAAGGTCTGGATGATATTGATGAAGAGGGAGAAGATGATGGAGAGGAGGAAGAGGAGGATGATGATGGAGAGGTATGCAACCAATTATTTTGCTGTCGCGTAGAAAGTCTTTAAATGCGTAACTATAGAAATGATTCTAGCCGCTCTTTATAAAATTTCTTGAAAATGTTCAATTCTTTCTTGTCTTCAAGTATTGGCTTTCAGCAAACTTGTGTATCATTTGAAGAAGCGCACATTAACTGCGCCTTTCTATTGCAGGACGATGATGGCGAGGATGACTAGATTAGAGAAATATTATCCACATTTCCCCCAGTCCTGTTTCCAAATTGCTTCTTTGGCTTTTTTGTTGTTTTTTGGGGAGCAAGATGCTTCGTTGTCCTGTTTTTTGGTTTTGAGCTCCATCTTTCCTCTATCCTGAACTTGCCGTGTTGAACAGACTCACAATAAACTGACTGCAAAATCTTGCCAACATGGCGTCTACCATCTCAATTTCCAAATGCATTTCGAAGTAAAAGCAAAACACTAGTTATCGGCCGCACGTCGTCTGGAGTAGACTTGCGAATAGTGTTTTCTGTTTCTTTTTGTTTAATATATATATGTACAAATATGTATAATTTTCTTCCTGTTGAAGTTTCGTGGTTAATAGCCATGGTGCGCTGTGATCTGCTAGCTCTAGCGTTCTCCACCGTTTTGTTACTTTATTCTTGGTGTTTATTCCCTGGTTTAATCGGCAGATAGACATCAGTAGTGAATCCCTGTTTCAGGAGGGCTGAGGAAAGAGGTTATGTGGACACCATCATTGAGTCTTTGATTTTTATCTCGTCTTGTTTTACAGACATTCACCAGATTTGAAATGGATTTTTGATAAAGAAAATAAAATATAAAAAAAAAAAAAAGGAATCAAATCATGCCTGTAACTTTCTCTTACCACCTCAATGAACTTTATGTAGTGGCTGTATTACTGTGTAAGACACTTGAATCTGTTGGGTTGGTTTTCAAATAAAACACAATGTTTGGTATTCATCCAGTTGCACAGAAAATACAATAAAGTTAAAAATTGTTTGTTTTAAGAGTCAATGGGAAGCCATATTTTAATATCCCCTGGGCCAAGTCAAGAACAAAGCCAGGCATTCCAGTCATATTAAATATTCCCCATAAAAATAGCTTTATTAAATGGCATAAAGTGTGGTCTGGCTAATTGTCAACTTCTAAAAGATTTTGGGGTCATCAGTAGTGTGGATGCGAAGTGTTCCTATGAGTGCCCCAAATGTCTGGTCCGAACCTTCAAATTATTCTCGGGTCCCCGTCACTGGGCTGAAACGCCCAACCTTCAATGAGGAATAGTTCACCCAAAAATGAAGATTTACTGAGAATGTACTCTCCCTCAGGACACGCAAGATGTGTTTGTTTCTTCATCAGATTTGGAGAAATGTAGCATTGCATCACTTCTCAGCAGTGAATGGGTGCCGTCAGAATGAGAGTCCAAACAGCTGATAAAAACATCACAATAATCCACAAGTAATCCACTCCAGTCCAGTTAATGTCTTGTAAGAAGCACATCTTTTATTGAGGTGTTTTTAAACTTCAAATAGTTGCTTCTGGCTAAAATACAAACCTGCTATCCATAATATAGTTTTCTCCCGTGAAAAGGTTGTCTGGTCTCAATCGGGAGAGAAATCTGCAAAGATCAAACACCGTTTACAAGCCAAAACCGTTTTAAACAATATGTGAGTGGATTTTGATGTGAGAGACGACAAGAGATGGACCTTTCCCACTGGAGGAAGCGTTATAGAATATGGAAATTTTGGATGTAAAAAAAAAACCCAATCTTGATAGATTTTTTATTTGCAAACACAGCTTCTGGCTTCTCAAGACATTAACTGATGGACTGGAGTGGTGTGGATTATTGTGATGTCTTTATCAGCTGTTTGGACTCTCATTCTGACGGCACCCATTCACTGCAGAGTATCCATTGCTGAGACACTGATGCAGTGCTACATTTCTCCAAATCTGATGAAGAAACAAACTCATCCACAACTTGGATGAAGACACTTCTCCAGCAAATTTTCATTTTTGGGTGAACTATTCCATCGCATGTACATGAATGGAAGTGGAAATTTGTTTATTTCTTGTTTTGTAGTTCACTTCAGTAGTCCAGTAGCATGAAATACATTTTGCATGTAAAAACAAATTGCATGTACGCTCATAAAACTGTGTGTGTGTGTATATCAAGAATACGTATTTCAAACTTGTGCATAAGTTTAATACAGTAAAACTATGTACTTACATTTACATATTTGGCCGGCGCTTTTATTAAATAATAAATAAACATTCTATCACTTCCTGCTTTCCCTAGAAATCGAACCCACAACCTTCCTGTTGCTATTGCCATCCCCTACTGTTTGAGCAATGCATTACTTACTGTACTTTTAAATGCTTATTTATACTATGTCTATACAATATTTGTATTGCACTTCATATGAAAACCCTCTAAACACCCACCTAGGTGTGTTTTGCACCGTGGCGGGAAACTTCACTAGAACCATCCCAATCAGATTACTTTTTTTCAAGTAACTAGTAAAGTAACGCATTACTTTTTAATTTACAAGAGAATATCTTGAGTTACTTTTTCAAATAAGTAACGCAAGTTACTTATTTTTTTCCAATTTAGTGATTGGCAGCTCTCCTGTCCCCATGTTGAGAGAAATCAGATGTTACTGTAGATCTAAAATAAATATGAATATGCATTAATTCATCTAACGCACAAAAACTAAACACAGATTCAGTATTCCTCAAAATGAGTAAAAATAATGCAACTCAGAATATGACGCAAACCTGCAATAATTAAATGTTAAACAACACAAATATCCTTTATGTATTTAATCCCATTCTATTAAGCAATGTCTTTGCTTCTGGCCTTCAATGATCCAGTTCAACCGTACTAATAAACACGAATTACTCTAGACGAACATTTCTGTGTCTTTGTTTATTGCTGAAGTGTGTTGAAATGTCTTCTTCTGTATTCTACTGTACGGACGTAAATGTACTTTCCCTTCAGCCTGAGGCGCATTCATTTCACTTTTGGCGTGAAAAGGCTTTTATATTTGCCAAAAATATAACTTTTTTATTTTAAAAACAAGCAAGCCCTGTTCAGATTTAAAAAGTAACGCAAAAGTAACGTAACGCATTACTTTCCATAAAAAGTAACTAAGTAACATAATTAGTTACTTTTTTTATGGAGTAACGTAATATTGTAATGCATTACTTTTAAAAGTAACTTTCCCCAACACTGGTTATTAGTAGTATTTTGATATATATTTTTTAATTTCATGTTCATTTTAACTAAAGTGTAGTTTTGTTGTGTTTTTGTTATTTTTATTAGTTTTTAGTTATTTTAATACATCAAGTTACTGAAAATGAGAAATGTTGCCTTGGAAACTAGCTGAAATAAAAGTGTTTTATTTTTAATTTCAAGTAACTCTGCATATGTATACAGAGCTGGGTAGATTGCTTGAAAATTGTAATCCGTTACTGATTCCAAGTTACATGACAAAAACTGTAGTTAGTAACGTAATCCATTACATTACAAGTAATCCAATCAGACTACTTTTGGATTACTTTTAGATTACTTTTGACCTAACTCGTTTATCACATTGATTTAAATATGATCATTTTGTACCATATATTGATATAAAAATGCAAAGAAAAAGAAAATATATGCCATTCGTTGTAATTAACAACGTGAAGTGCATTAAACATTACATTATCAAGGTTCCCAAACGGGTTCGTAAAGGTTGCGAGTTCGATGAAAAGCTAATAATTAATGTATCATAAAAATGTAAAATAAAGAGAAATAATTTTAAAATATCAATCAAAATAAAACACTTAGAATTTTTTTTATGTTTTATTTGCTTACACCTGCATGTCATGTGACCATTAACCAACATGAACATGTGTCACTTAATTATTGACTTATTACCTTAAAATCTCAGGCGTACTACAAATAAATATATTAAGTTAAAGAGGTTCACATGACAAAAAAGTTTGGGAATCCTTGCATTAAACGTAAAGAAGAAATAACGTGAATTTGTGCATTTTAATGTGTTTGAAAGACAAAAGCCTTTCAAAAGATGGTAATTAAATAATCAACTGAGTGATGATTCAAATAAAAATTAATGCTTTCATCAGTAGTTGATGCAATGTTGAAACGTAGAGAAAACACTTCTTAAAATGCAAAAGATTTTTTGTGGCCTCTCAATTTCATAATTTTTTCATAATTCAAAATTGCTTGCTATTGTGTGAATAATATGTAATCAGTACTTTTACTTAAGTTTTGGAGTCTGATTACACGTAATCCGTCACTGCTCGTATATTGTTTTAGTTTACCATGATAGCCCTATTTAGTGTCCCCATCATATCCTAATATACTGGATAAAATATTAAACTTTAATCGTTTTTAGTCGCAATTAAGTGAACGTACGTATAGGTCCATTTGAAATGAAATCTCTGGTTTGGTTGCTTTGAATAGACGTTGTCATTTCTAATGTTGAACTTCTAATGCAATTTCTCATCGTAGCAAACCAAAATCTGTAATCATTTGCCCGAATAATTTCTATTCTGAATTCTATTTCATTTTGTAGTAAGTTGAGCTGAAATGGATCTGATGAATTCTGTGATGTTTTGTGGTATTAGTTGGTTTGTCACTAAAAATTGCTAAACATTTGTTATAATTAATGAATAAAGTCCACGATCTTGACCAGAGCTCATTTCTAAAAGTCTGCTAATCCCTTTTATAAAAATACTTCCTTACATAACAAAACATACATAATAGATCTGTACTAGATGTACAGCCACTTTCTGATCCATTAGATTTAAATACACACAAAAATAATCACTTGGTGTACTTGGTTTAATCCTTATGCCATATAAAATCATCAATATACAGTACATTTCATCTTAGTGTATGCACACTCCATCATCATATTGCAAAAATAAGGCTCATGTAGGGTAAGCTGATTACTGTTAACAATCACTTGTCTAAAACGGATAATAAACTTTGGTTGGAGGATCATTTTCATGAATTTGAGATCGGATGGATACATTAAGACACCAACACGTAAAAACTAATTTAGAAAAGAAGATAATTTCCTTGCATGCTCAGATAAAAGAAAACAAACTTGAACTTAAGATGGCATGATGCTCGATTAAATAAATCCTATAGATGAGAAAAACACTCATGCAAACACACATTCATCCATTACACAGTATTGGCTTATACTTCATTTCAGTGTAGAACAATCTGAAACATTTGTCAGGTCGATTTCCACCAATCAGGACTTGAAGAAGGCGGAGCCAAGCTCGCTCCTGGGAGCGGGAATCTGCTTGGTTCTTAAAGACGTCTAGATAAAAGAAAGAACAGATGCAGTGACTATTAGTTATAAAAAATTGAGAAAATATCATTTAGCTGCTACAAACAAGACGCTTGCCTCTAGAAACTGTTTGAGTCTGGTTACAGAGCCCATCTGACCGGTGCTGGTGACCGCTTCGATTCTGAGGAAATAAGGTTAGGTTTAATAAATAAGGACCGGTATTAATATTTATGGCATATTTATGTTTATACCTAATATTGAAGGAATACTTCACCCATAAATGAAAATTGACTCCCCCATCAGAGCATCCGAGATTAGGATGAGTTTGTTTCTTCGTCAGGTTTGGAGAAATGTAGCACTGCATCAGTGTCTCAGCGATGGATGCTCTGCAGTGAATGGGTGCCGTCAGAATGAGAGTCCAAACAGCTGATAAAAACATCACAATAATCCACAGCACTCCAGACCATCAGTTAACATCTGGAGAAGACAAAAGCTGAGACAAATCCAGCATTAAGACGTTTTGTAACTTTAAACCGCCGCTTCCGGCTAAAATACGAGTCCATAATCCATAATAACACTTCCTCCAGTTCTTCTGTTGTCTCTCACATCAAAATCCAGTCACAGATTTGTTTAGAGCTGTTTTGGACTGTTTAAACAGTGCTTGATCTGTGCAGATTTCTCTCCTGATTCAGACCAGATGACTTTTTCACCGGAGGAAGCGTTATTATGGATTATGGACTTACTTTCCATAAAAAGTAACTAAGTAACATAATTAGTTACTTTTTTTATGGAGTAACGTAATATTGTAATGCATTACTTTTAAAAGTAACTTTCCCCAACACTGGTTATTAGTAGTATTTTGATATATATTTTTTAATTTCATGTTCATTTTAACTAAAGTGTAGTTTTGTTGTGTTTTTGTTATTTTTATTAGTTTTTAGTTATTTTAATACATCAAGTTACTGAAAATGAGAAATGTTGCCTTGGAAACTAGCTGAAATAAAAGTGTTTTATTTTTAATTTCAAGTAACTCTGCATATGTATACAGAGCTGGGTAGATTGCTTGAAAATTGTAATCCGTTACTGATTCCAAGTTACATGACAAAAACTGTAGTTAGTAACGTAATCCATTACATTACAAGTAATCCAATCAGACTACTTTTGGATTACTTTTAGATTACTTTTGACCTAACTCGTTTATCACATTGATTTAAATATGATCATTTTGTACCATATATTGATATAAAAATGCAAAGAAAAAGAAAATATATGCCATTCGTTGTAATTAACAACGTGAAGTGCATTAAACATTACATTATCAAGGTTCCCAAACGGGTTCGTAAAGGTTGCGAGTTCGATGAAAAGCTAATAATTAATGTATCATAAAAATGTAAAATAAAGAGAAATAATTTTAAAATATCAATCAAAATAAAACACTTAGAATTTTTTTTATGTTTTATTTGCTTACACCTGCATGTCATGTGACCATTAACCAACATGAACATGTGTCACTTAATTATTGACTTATTACCTTAAAATCTCAGGCGTACTACAAATAAATATATTAAGTTAAAGAGGTTCACATGACAAAAAAGTTTGGGAATCCTTGCATTAAACGTAAAGAAGAAATAACGTGAATTTGTGCATTTTAATGTGTTTGAAAGACAAAAGCCTTTCAAAAGATGGTAATTAAATAATCAACTGAGTGATGATTCAAATAAAAATTAATGCTTTCATCAGTAGTTGATGCAATGTTGAAACGTAGAGAAAACACTTCTTAAAATGCAAAAGATTTTTTGTGGCCTCTCAATTTCATAATTTTTTCATAATTCAAAATTGCTTGCTATTGTGTGAATAATATGTAATCAGTACTTTTACTTAAGTTTTGGAGTCTGATTACACGTAATCCGTCACTGCTCGTATATTGTTTTAGTTTACCATGATAGCCCTATTTAGTGTCCCCATCATATCCTAATATACTGGATAAAATATTAAACTTTAATCGTTTTTAGTCGCAATTAAGTGAACGTACGTATAGGTCCATTTGAAATGAAATCTCTGGTTTGGTTGCTTTGAATAGACGTTGTCATTTCTAATGTTGAACTTCTAATGCAATTTCTCATCGTAGCAAACCAAAATCTGTAATCATTTGCCCGAATAATTTCTATTCTGAATTCTATTTCATTTTGTAGTAAGTTGAGCTGAAATGGATC